GAATTATCTCAGCTGAAAGGCAAGGGGCTGAGTTTCTTTAACCCAAACCCAACCTTGATCCATCTTTTATACCAGTCCAATTCATTCGGTTAACTCTATAACTTTACTGTCTTAACGTTAACCTTAAACTTGGAGTGATGAAAATTATTATCATTTTTTTTTTGTTTCGTGTGAAGCAAAAAGATCAGGCAATAAAGGAGAGCAATAAAAGATGAAACAACGCGGCGTTAATTTGTTAACTGTCGGTTACGACAAGGCTTAACTGCGCGCGAGCACTCTAAAGCACGGCGCGAACCATTTAGTTGGCGCGCAATTTGTCGTAGTGCTACTTACAGTTTAGAGGATTAGAGAATGTGAGATAGTTAAGTGAAGTGCATCAACATCACGTGACAGTAGTGGCTTTGTCAGTCTCGATCAAAGCTCGCTAATTAGCGGACACCAGTACTTCAAGTTGTCTTATATTTTTTTTTATTAGTAATGTAACACAAGTAATTAGATTTTATTTTTATAAACAGTTTAGTTTCATATAAAGGTGTAGTTGTGTTCATGGCGTTGTACCGACAGTTTTAAGGTTCAAACTAGTGTCCGACATTCGTGTTAAACTACGTGATGTAGCGACCAGATGTTGGTGCTAGTGCAAGTTGGGATGGCGAGGGTGTTGATACTGCACTTAAACAACCTCAAGGATAAGCTGCACGGATTATCTGGAGTACGTCGAATAATTGGTACCGATTTTAAAGATTGCAGTCTGATCTGTAGGTAGAACATAACACCTTGCCTGGTATGTGGGTAGGACAAAACACCTTCCCTGGTGTGTGGGTAGGACAAAACACCTTCCCTGGTGTGTGGGGTAGAACATAACACCTTGCCTGGTATGTGGGTAGGACAAAACACCTTCCCTGGTGTGTGGGTAGGACAAAACACCTTCCCTGGTGTGTGGGGTAGAACATAACACCTTCCCTGGTATGTGGGTAGGACAAAACACCTTCCCTGGTGTGTGGGTAGGACAAAACACCTTCCCTGGTGTGTGGGTAGGATTACACACCTTCCCTGGTGTGTGGGTAGGACAAAACACCTTCCCTGGTGTGTGGTTAGGATTACACACCTTCCCTGGTGTGTGGGTAGGACAAAACACCTTCCCTGGTGTGTGGGGTTAGACATAATAACACCTTGCTTTAACACCTTTCTTGCCCCCCCCAACACCATCTGACTATTCCTTATTCCATCTCACCATCCTCCATTCCCCATCATCCACAACAGCAACCCATCCCTCCACGTCACCGCACTCCCCCCCCCCCCCACAGCACCAATTAACCTGTGACCGGCACCCGCACCCACGTGACACAAAGCCCAACCAATCATCTGTTCAGACATTGACCTCAATTGACCCTGTAAGCGTTAAACCCGGGTTGAACCTTGAGGTAAACAGTTTGACATCAACGTACAGCGATTTTACATACGCGCTGTGTTTCTCATCCTCTACAATTGCAGAATTACATTACATGCGTACATATCCTACGTTACACCAGTATGCTTACATACCCAGCATTATACCAAACTTACATTAGATGCTACCATATCCTGCATTGTACCAAAGTTACATTATATGCTTACATTTATTCTGCAAAATACCAAACTTACACAAATGATTACATATCTAACCACTGCATTACACCAAACGTACACCACATGCTTACATATCTCTGTAAGTTCACAATATCAAGAGTATGCCACTGGGTCAGTGAGACAACAGAGACAACAGAGACAAGCTGACCACTCACTACCCTGGCTCAAGTTAGACATGACATCCCTGGCCACTAATTACAAGTAATTTAGTGCGTCCGTAAACGATGTCTCGCTTTTTAAAACGATTTTACCCTCCAACCACTCAGTTGTTATTAGCATTAACAAAATAAGTAATTAAAAATGCGAAATTAAGCATTAGGATTTAAAAGTCGAAACTATGTCGTTCAACTTCCAAAAACCCCTCACCCTCAACACTCATCACAAAAGTCCCCCCCCCCCCTCCCCCATGCTAAAAGCGCTTTCTATGAACAACCTTCACTGTATTTTGTAGATGAATGCTAAAATACCATTGACTTTACTGCTCTTGTTTATAAACATGTTTACGCAATGACTCGCATTTTTTTCAGAATTATTTTCGTTTTGGATACCCCCCACCCCTCCGTTTTACCCCACTTTTGCGATATGTAATGCCCCTAAATAAACCACTTGCCTGGGTGCACACAGTTTTTTTTTTACCCGTCCAGAAATGGCATCTGAAAAAACAAATCCAGATTTTTCTTTCATTTCCCCGATGACGACATTAAACATTATGTCATCAAACAGACCCAGAGTAAGCAGCAGATAAAAAAAAAGATGAGCCAAATTTAAAAGAAAGTTGGAAAATAAATTTGGCACTGAATCTGGCCTGAACTGAGTAGCCTGGCAGATGTGAGCAGTTCTCTGGTTTAGAGAACAACACTTGAAGCAGAACGTGTTTTTAGACCGAGATTTGCTTTAACGTTACCATGACGTCACGTCACGTTTATAACCCTAGGTAAAAAAAAAAATGGATGAAAGCATTTTCAATTTTATCTTTTTTATACTCCAATTCGATCTTTTTTGTTTTTGTTAAAATACAAACTTATATTTTTTAGTCGGCTTTAGATGAGTTTTCAAACATTTTAGTAATGATTTTTTGGTTAACATTTTACTTTTTGGTAAACATTATATCTGAGTACGTAAGTTAGTTTCAAGTGTTGTTGCTGGTGTTATCTTCAGTGCCTGCTGGGATGTGTAGGGTAAAAGTTGTCTTAAATCAAGTCTAGACACACTTATAGTTGATGGTTTGTTTTAGTTCTTAATAATTTAATGCGTTTTTTATAGCAAACTAGTGTACTCGTCCGCGCGTTGCTGCGGTATCAGAAGAAAGGCTGAAGAAATATTTTAAGATGTTTACCAATCGTGTATTTTTAGACGCATGACCTTATTTTCTATAACGTAGTTATTTAAATGTAAAAACAAAACAACAGGAGCTATATATCTTAAATCGTAGTGTTGGGGTGCGGGTTTGTCCACACTACTGCTCAGAAGCCCCAGGGGCGTGATGTATGAAAACATAGAGTGTGCATTTATCAACCTCTGTAAAAGTGAGGTAGATTACACCTCGGTCACCGCCTAGGTGTCAGGGACATCTCGGGGAATTCTCGGGGGCCACAGGCTACACTACCGCAGGGGCGCCGCGTTCGGCCCCTGGTTCGGTTTAGTCATCGAATGTCATTTGCCGCAGTGTTCTATTGTAGGTTGCTATTTGAAGCAAACGTCGAGGTCATAGTGCTCACGGGGGAGACCTAGACGCCAAATAACACTTATCGGGACGCCGTGGGATGTGCCTGATTCGATTTAGTGAACGATTATAGTAGTCTATCGTATCCATAGTGTATTGCACTCATTAAAACAAACGTAGGCGCCATAGTGCTCACGGTGGATGCCCAGGGCGCCAAATCGCAGCCTTACGGTGCACCGCCCCTTGAAAATGTAAATTTTCTTTTCGAAAAAACCTCTCCAGGAATATTCTCAACAGCTTCCTAAATATTTATTGCAATCGGATGAAAGTTGTAGTCATGTAGCCTATAAAGGACAGACAAACAAGCAGACAAACGGACATCCTTTCATTTTTATAAGAGAGAGAGAGAGATGGCGCAAGTAAGTACGCGCTAGAGACTATTGTATTGTTAGCATCAAAGCATTAAACAAATCCTAACTGATAATTAATCTAAATCTGAACATTCCCTTTGGTTTAGCAGAATAGCGATTCATAACGATATAGTTATGTGATACAGCGAAATAATACAGTGATGTTATACAGTATTGTGGTAATATGATCGGTTACTCTGTGTTGGGTTACTCTGGTGTGATACTGTGGTGGGTTACTGTAATGTGATACTGTAGTGGGTTACTCTGGTGTGATACTGTGGTGGGTTACTGTGATGTGATACTGTGGTGGGTTACTGTGATGTGATACCACTAAATCAGACATTTTGGTTTAACATAATAAGGTATTTAAACATACCATTTAGGGTGTACTTACAACTTATAAGGAAATTGCTGCGTACGCAAAAGGATGCATTTGTGCTCTTACACTCACACACGCTCTCGCAAACATACTCACAAAGAGACACATACGCACACACGCACACGCACACACACACACACACACACACACACACACAAACAAACAAGTCCCGCGTAAGATTTCCATCTTCAAAAACATGATGAACACGCGTCTCTATTTTTCTTTTTATGTGTTAAAGACAGACATACAATTTGACTCAAGCGTCGAGAACTTTATCTGGCCAATTGAAAGTGCACACACACAAACACACGCAATGATGCGCATTAACACACACGCACCATGCAACAATAATACGTAAAAAAACAAATTCGAATGGCTTCCATTTTTTGTTAGAGTAGAAAAGTACATTTCCCTTGCAGGTTAGAGTGTCGACTTAAGCTACGTTTTTATAGTTGCTGTTTTTCTTGATGCTGTTTTTCTTAATGCTGTTTTTCTTGATTTTATTTTTTGGTTTGTTCTTGATGTTTTTATTTTATGTTTCCTTCACATTGCTTGCTGTATCCCGTGTAACTAATTACGTATTTGTTAATTATGTTGATTCTTTTTTTGCAAATTAATATTTTTAATTGGTGTTGCTAATGTCAATATTAATGATGTTGAGGGCGATATATTAATATTTATATTTTTAGGCACAGAGAAGGTAGATGTTTTTTCCAAAGTAGATCTTCTCATGGGAAGAAACCTAAACATGAACAACTCAGACGCTTCATTACGCTACGATTTAATTACCTAATCAACTTCAGGCGGACCCAACATTCTTGGTATTCCATCCGTCTTAATTAACATACGGAAGTTTCGTATACACACATTTTAAAAAAAATACACTGATCTTTGACCTTGACTCAAGGGAGAGAATTCTTACCTTCAACTCCACACGTCGACTCATGGTGAGCAGCCTTTGATGAAGAATCCGATCTCTCGGGCCTAGCCGAGCGCTTGTACACAAGATGCGGTTGTCCTTGCTGATCTGCTGGATTGTGTCCCTTGACTGGTTCGATGAGATAATCCTCGCCACCATACCGTACAAGTCCCCGCTGTGGATTGAAAACAAAAGTTATGAACAACTGTATATTTGTATTGAAGGACGTTCAACATTTCTCAAACAATACTACTCGCACATGTTCAATAAAGAAGAGTTCAGTTAGGGGGGGGGGTTTAAGGTTGAGTCTAGTTTTAGTTTTGTGTATGCAAGAAATAAAGTTAGGTTTAGAGTTGTCGTGCCACATATTAGTAATCTTGTGATACATAATGTATTACAAAAGTTGGTTAACGTGCATAGAAAACAGCGAGAAGGGATGAAGGGAAAAATTGACTGAATTACATCTAGTCTAGTGCATTAGAAGAAAATTGACAAACATATCATATCACGTTGTTTCGAACAAATCATAACCAATAGATATTAATTAATTTAATTACTAATCAGTGATGATGACAATATTCATTTGAAGGGTAGTCGCTGATGTAAATTTTTAAAAATGTTTATTTAAGTGGCTACAATGTGTGCAGCCTACAGATTTGGTAGTTTACTATGTCATTTACGTTTTTCTATATCCCTGTTAATGTTTACCTAGGACCAATAATCATTTGTCCAGCTTTGTTTACTTTATTCTGTCTCTGATAAAAGCTCTACCTATCCAGCACTAAATAGTACCAGACCAAAGACACCATTCCCAGCTGAAGAACTCCAACTTATACTTTCGCCCCTGTGTTACCCCGGGGAACTTAACACACCTATACATCCCCTTTTGTTAACTTGGCCTTTCATACAGAGCTCAGCATACCAGACTCAAGGTCATGTCGTATACTAAACCTCACACTTGGTTCAAGGTCATGTTTGCTACACAACATCAGACTCGACTCAAGGTCATGTATGCTACTAAACCTCAAACTCGACTCAAGGCCATGTATGTTACTCAACCTTGGACTCAGTTCAAGGTCATGTCTGCTATATAACATCGGACTCGACTCAAGGTCATGTATGTTACTCAACCTTGGACTCAGTTCAAGGTCATGTCTGCTATATAACATCGGACTCGACTCAAGGTCATGTATGTTACTAAACCTTAGACTCAGTTCAAGGTCATGTCAGCTATCAAACCTCTGACTCGACTTCAGGTCATGTCTGCTAGAAAAACTCACACTGTTAAAGCCAACAGGTTCCAACATTAAGGAGTGGCCGGATGACAAGAGGCCGGGGAACCATCTAACGGAAATGTGAAAGTCAGACAGACCCTCTTCTAGGATGTCTGTTTCATCCAGACCTGAGAATCACGCGCCGGTTGAAGTTTACTCCTCACATTGTCCCACACAACATATGCTGACCTTGACATTGTGTTGTTGACGTGAGCTGTGTTTGTGAAGTTGGTGTCGTGGTGAGTTGTGGTGTTAATCATTAATTCATCGAATTAGGCAAATCTCTATGTACTCTCGTGAGAAAGGTTTACATAAGTGTAGCCTCAATGAACAAAAATACTTGGCAAAACAACCATACACACACACACACACACACACACACACTCACGCATGCGCACACAGCACACGTGCGCGCATTTAAAACTTGAATGGAAAATAGCTGCCAGTGATGTTTTGCCAATTTTTGCGGGGGGGGGGGGATATTTAGTTTTAAAAAAACTGAATATTGAGGAGCTTTATTTATATTTTTAAAGCGTTTATAGTAAACATTTTATTGAGTAATAAAACATAAAAAATATAGAATAATAATAAAGCTTTTACATGCACACATAAATTCCCCACCTATAAAAGTACATTGTGGTTTATATACTTTTGGTCGCTATAGATTTTATATATTATTTATATACAATTAACGAGCATCACCATCTAACACCATGTAAGAAGGTTGGTTGCGTGCTCCGTATGTTTATAAATTTGTCATGTGACATATTTGAAAGAGAACAGTTAACTTTGTGATAAATCAAAAGCTCATGTTGCAACATTTGACAAGCAAATGCGAAAGCTGCAATTTACATGCAATTGAAATACAAGTTGAACTCACAATATTAATAAGAACATCTAGAGTCTAGAGCAACACACAATGCAGTGTTTTCTTTAAGAAAAAATGCCTGCTCTTTACTGTATCATTGAATGTCATTCCTGTATAAGGGAAGGTATTAACACAAACTAATGTACATCTAGATATAAATAGTGGGTAGGGGTAGGGTTACGCTAAAAATACCAGGCCAATTTAACTGTTTATCTAGAGCCACTACCGCTCCACATCATAGTACCCGTCCCAATCCTCAGTCTCACTCCCAGCTCCCTAACCTACTCATCATCCTACTCTCATCATCCTACTCTCATCATCCTACTCTCATCATCCCACTCTCATCATCCTACTCTCATCATCCCACTCTCATCATCCCACTCTCATCATCTAACTTTCATCATCCCACTCTCATCATACCACTCTCATCACCCCACTCTCATCATACCACTCTCATCATCCCACTCTCATCATCCCACTCTCATCATCTCACTCTCACCATCCCACTCTCATCATCCCACTCTCCACACCTCTCCTTATCCTACTCCCCAATCCCAGCTCCCCAACCTACTCATCATACCACTCTCATCATCTCACTCTCATCATCCTACTCTCATCATCCTACTCTCATCATCCTACTCTCATCATCCTACTCTCATCATACCACTCTCATTATCCCACTCTCATCCTACCACTCTCATTATCTCACTCTCATCATCCCACTCTCACCATCCCACTCTCATCATCCCACTCTCATCATCCCACTCTCATCATCCCACTCTCATCATCCCACTCTCATCATCCCACTCTCCACACCTCTCCTTATCCTACTCCCCAATCCCAGCTCCCCATCATACTCCCCATCTAACTCCCTACGACACTCCCAATTATTTTCCCCACCCCACTCACGACTAGCCACCCCACTCCATTACCCACCCCAACCCATTCACCACCCCACTCCACCCACAAAACCTTACTCCCCATCCCACTTTATTCACCCCCACTCCCCCCACAAAACCCTACTTCCCACCCCATCCCATTCCCCACCCAACCCATTCCCCACCCAACCCATTCCCCACCCCACTCCACCCACAAAACCTTACTCCCCACCCCACTCCATTCACCCCACTCCCCCCCACCAAACCCTACTCCCCATCCCACTCCCAACCCATTCACCACCCCACTCCCCCCCTTCTCTAAATATACCACACCACTGTCAAAAAAAAAAACAAAAACAACCCAGACCATGTAAGAAGTCTAACACAGCACACAACACAAACACGGTTTAAAAACGTATCAAACGTGAGCACATGCTAGACCCGCATGCTTCACGTGCTACTGTCACACATGTCTGCTGGTGAGTATCGTCTGCTGTGGGGATCACCGCGCCATTGGATGCAGGTCCAGGCGGCCGCTGATCACGTGACGTTACGATTTATAGAGGGTAACGTCTGCTACAGCCACTTAACGTCTGGCTTGTGAACACGAAATATGACAGGCTGGTTTGTGGGGGTGTGCTGGTGTTAGCATGGGGTGGCATGTCGGTGACAGTCTACATATCATTTGGTGTCATTAACAGTCTACATATCATATGGTCACAGTCTACATATCATAATTATGTAGTCATTAACAGTCCTGTTGTGGAGTCTTTGACAGTCCCCCTATCATATGAAGTCATCGACCTCTAGTAAAACACTGCTTAAAGAGAAAACACGACCAAGTTCCGTGTAGCCCTCCATTATGTGAATGACAATGTCAGTTTACAATATACGCTTAGGTCCCTAATAAAGGTCCCTTCACGTTTAGAGCCTGGTAAAAGTCCCAAGTTACAAAGCACGCTTAGCTTCCAAGGGACTTAACTCGTGTAGGTCCAGGTAAAGGCCCTGCATAAGAGTATTAAGACTGAGAACTAGAATTATTCGCTTGTGATATTATTGTTACACTTTTGAATCTGTTCAATTTTTTTTTGTGTTTTTCGAGTTCGGAAAGCTACGTTAGCTGCATCTCCAAGTTGGCTCGGTGACATCCTACAATTTTATCCGCAAATGATATCAATGTCAATAATTGTCATCAACTGCATTAGACCATTGTATAGACATGCCGAAAGTGACGGTCTACAGACCCAGGGTCCATTGTGTTTCATGCGTGGGCGTGATGACATCAGTAAATCACGTGTAAACAGTGGCTGTCTCGTGTCATTGTTTCTTGTCATCGTGTCTGTCGGGCGAAAAGGTCGAGCTTTTCACTGCTAGGCTCCCGGCGTTTTATTGCCAGGGGGGATTATCATAAGACAGAGTGTAAGGAGACAGCTGTTGCAGTTTAAAATGTGTTGGGATTTATTTAACAGTAGCTAGCAGTTTAAAATGTGTTGGGATTGGTTTAACAGTAGCTAGCAGTTTAAAATGTGTTGGGATTTGTTTAACAAAAGCTAGCAGTTTAAAATGTGTTGGGATTTGTTTAACAGTAGCTAGCAGTTTAAAATGCGTTGGGATTTGTTTAACAAAAGCTAGCAGTTTAAAATGTGTTGGGATTTGTTTAACAGTAGCTAGCAGTTTAAAATGTGTTGGGATTTGTTTAACAAAAGCTAGCAGTTTAAAATGTGTTGGGATTTGTTTAACAGTAGCTAGCAGTTTAAAATGTGTAGGGATTTATTCAACTGTAGCTAGCAGTTTAAAAAGTGTAGAGATTTTTCACCTGTAGCTAGCAGTTTAAAGTTTAGAGATTCATCCAACAGTCAATAGCAGTTAAAAAACGCAAGAATTTATTGTGCAGTAGCCAGCAGTTAAAATGTTTAGAAATTACAGTCAAAATCAGTTTTCTAAAAGTTTAATGATTAACTCAACAGCAGCTATCAGAACTAGAGAAATCAGTAGTCAACAGGATTTTTAAAGACAAGTAAATTTTCATTCAACAGTTCCTAGCAAAGCTACCCGACATAGTCTCTCAATGACATTGATGCAGGTTTTATTTCTCAAACACTGACAGTGACACAAACACACTGAACTGTTCAGCAGAAGAATTGATGATATTTGA